GCCATGGCACTCTACCCAGGGGGATAGCTTGAGGCTCTGTCTCAAAAAAATAAAAATAAAAATAAAATAAATTCTCTATCATAAAACGCTATCATTGAAATTTGATAGTGAGAAAGTAAAAATGTAAAAATATTCATATTTTAAAATGAAATGCAAAGTTGTGATGGTCTTTGTATTCTTTCATGGTATTAAATTATTTACTTATCACATTATTTAACATGCTTTGAGATACAGAAATAATAAGGCTTAGTGGCTCAGCCCCTGTTTTAACTCAATAACTAGGAAAATGACATGAAGGCGACGTTAACCAGTTTGATGAGAGTATTTCAAAATGTATGTGAAAACACCACACTGTACCCTGTGATTGCATTGATGTACACAGCTATGATTTAATAAAAAATTTAAAAAAAAAGACTACATAGTCTAGGAGTGTAAGATCCGACAGTTAAGTTCATGGACTCGTCCTAGAAAAAGTACTTCATGTCTCATTCCTGAATATCACCAAGGTCACCTTCTCGGTATTCTTGGAAGCTATGTACCAAAGCCAGGGCCAAGTCCACCCTTTAAAAGAATTTTAGAATTATTTTTGTGGAATGGCCCTCAGAGCTATCATCATATGAAATCTAACAATTAAGTTTGTGAACTAGTCCTAGAAAAAGTACAACATGCCTTATTGATGACCATATCAGTATGGTCCCCAGATGGTCAGTACTTCCAAAGTGGTCATAGTGATATTCAGCAATGAGGTATGCAGCACTCTTTTTAGGAGAGTTAGCAAACTTAATTGTCCACCCTCATATGTGAGTAAGTGGCATATATAAGATATAGTAGAGTGGGATAATGATTTAATAAAAGTATACAATTATGATAGGCTCGTTGAGGATAAAAGCAACTAAGACTCCTTTAAAACAGAACCAGAGGGGATTTATTTGACCTGGAATTAATATAAAAGGTAGAGAACAAGATGAAGGGACTTGTGCAAATGTTTGTGGTAGGAGAAATCATGGTATACTCATAAATGAACAAATAATTTGGCTGGAGTCAAGATATACTCAGCAGAGAATCTTGATTTAGAGCTGGAGAGGTGGGTAAGGACTGCTCACAAAGGACTTTGAAAGTTAGCTAAGAACTGTCAATATTTATACACCACGACACAAGTGGAAAGAGAATATGAAGTAGTCCCTTGCAGCAGTGTAGGATAGAGATTATGGTGGTGCGGAGGTAAAATATGGATGTAGATAGACAGATGTAATAGTTTAAAATCTAGAAATATTGCAGTTGTTGTACAAATATAAGAAATTTTGGAATTGGTGATTGAATCTATGTAAATATGAGTGTAGGATACTGCCTTTATTTTTTGCTTATATTTCTGGATACTGATTACCGTTAAGTAGGATGTATAATATAATCAGAAGAAGGGGGAAAAAGGATAAATTTTATTTCACGCGTGTTGCCTGTGAGACACTCAGATATAGTTGTGTGGTAGGCAGAGGTCTATAATAGATAGAGTGGTCATACAGTTCATCTTCCAAGCTAGGATACTTTTGACAGTGAAAAGGATGCTATTGTTTATCAGTGTTCAATGACTGACCTGGGTGAACTAGCATGGCCTATTTAATGAAGGGCAATAATTCATTTTCTTATGTCAAGATATAAGAACGTGTACAATGAAAGAAATAAGCCTGGGCGGTGCCTGTGGCTCAAAGGAGTAGGGTGCTGCTCCCATATACTGGAGGTGGTAGGTTCAAGCCCAGCCCTTGCCAAAAACTGCAAATAAATAAATAAATATATACAATTTAAAAAAGAAATAAGGCCCTTTCTTACTATTTTGAAAACTTGTTTATTGAAGAATTTATTAAGCTACTTTTTTTTTTTTTAGAATATTTTGATGAAATGAAAGAATATGGCCCGATTTATATTCTGTGGTCAGCCTCAGAAGACGATCTGGTTGATATTCTGAAAGATGTTTCCAGCTGTATTGACAGATGCTGCAAAGCCACTGAAAAACGGATGGCTGGACTCTCCGAGGCCCTGCTTCCCGTGGTCCATGAGTACGTGCTTTACAGCGAAATGTTAATGGTAAGAGCACCCACTTCGGATTTCCCTGCAGTCCTGTACCTGATTATAAGCCCGCTAAAGGCGATTTCTATTTCCCCTTTTTCTCACCACTCTCTTCTTATCCCAGCAGGATGTTTTCATGGTGATGCTCTATAAATATTTATTCACCATGTGCACGAATAGACAAAGGGAAGAATGCGTTGCTAAAAGGCGGGAGTATGCAACACTCAGTAGCAGCACCAAGAATTTATAAAATTATACACAGACTTGAAGCACTCCCAATCAAGATGTACTTGGAGAATAGGACTGGGTTTTTTTCAACCTGTTTTAAAAATTTTACTTTACAAAGTTCTTAGTACTTTGGGGATTTCTTTGCATGTAACAACAGCCTTCCCAGTTCTGGGTTCATTTGATGTAGCAACATATTTAATACGTTATGTAAAAGTACTTGAGTAAGACCTTGATGTTTGTTCTACCTTCTAGTTGCTTTTAAAAGGGATCTTTTAAGTTAAGTGTTTTCCTTTCACTATTTGAAAAGGCTTTTATTCCTCTTATATCAAAGTTTCAGATTTTACTTCTCAGTTCTAGTTAAGGTTTCCACATTTGGGGGATTTAGCAATGCTATCTGCAAAGCTAATATTCTCCTTCTAGTATTACCCTATGACCGGGATACTCTGCACTGTCAATTTGGCATCCTCTGGTCTCTGGTGATGGTCGGGGAAGGAGTCAGCTTGCATTAAGATATAACCCTTTCTTCTGCTATTTATAATGGAAGCTATGTCTGGTTTCTGTTGTAATGTACTCTTGATTTCTAGGGATTTCTTTTATTTTCCTTTTCTTTTTTTTTAACTTTGCTTTGTTTTGATATGAAAAGCTCTGTTTGTCTTTCGGCATGATGTCTGCCTCATTCTTGTTTGTCATTTTCAGAGTCCCTTTGACTGAGCCATTAAATATTGCGTGAACATTTCAGGCTTCTCTTGCGACTTGACCTTATTGAGGTCTTCCTGTAACAAAGTCTCTTGCTTTCCAAAGGCGCCAGCGTGTCAGTGCTGAGGAGGAGTCTCTGCTTTATCTCTATCAGTTTCCTTGGCTCCATCCTGTTGTTTGATCACCCCCTTGTATAAATATCTTCAAAAAGATCTGATTTGTATATTCTCTTCTCTTAGTGTTTTCCTATGTCAAGATGTAAATTACATAATTAAAATCTTATGTTATTAGAGGTGTGGAAAAATTACAATAGCAACCCTAAAGAATTACTTTGTAGACTCCTGGGGTATTATCAGTAGTATTTATATTGCAGTTATGGTGCTGTTTTAGATTGGAATATTTTCTTTAATCTGAGCTGAAATAATGATAAATAATGCCTTGACAAAAATGGTTCAATTTATGTAATTTTCACTAGTTTTTTCCTGAAGTAACCTCTTACTTAAAATATTTATGCATACAAAGCACAGTATGGAAACATTTATGAACACAGACCTTAAATAAACACGATTAAATTACAGCACGAGTCATTTGGGTTAGAGTAAGGAAGGGGTCTTTTTGACATTAATGATAATTAAACACTGAAGTAAATATAAAGGAATTTGTGACCACTAGTTGAATTTTCTACCGATTTCTTTGCAGCTAGGAGATTTTTGAAAGTCATAAGAGTGATTCCGCCAGGTGAAAAATAAAACCAGCTGGTTCTCAGGATACCTTTTCAGTCCTTAATGCTTTTCCATTATTGTTTAAATAGTGTAGAACCATCTTACTTGACCTTCATGTAACTAATCTGCGTTTGGTTCTTCCCTTCTTCTATAAAACACCCAGAAGGCTTGTGTCCTGTTAAGGCCCTTTTCCTGTGTGCCCAGGGCTGCTTCTCTCCCTGGTTGAGTTGCTGTCTTTTTCCTTCAGCCTGTTTAGGCCACTTGTGTTCATTATTTAAATCCCATTATTTAATTAATATGGTGAAAGCCAATGAAAGATGAGTACATAAGGAGTTGTTGTGTCTGTGAGGTCTACGTAGAATGTCTTAGAGGAAAAGTGACTCACCAAAGCAACATATTATAAAATTTCACCAAAAATTACTAAAGATGTGGATGGAGTCTAGACATAGACAGTGCTGCACTCAGATTGCTTCACAAGAGTGTTTTAAGTTTAAGATACTGAAACTTGAAATCATGGTTATTAAAAAAAAAAACAAGTTGGAACTCTATCAGTCAAAGAAACGGCTATAAATTTCTCTTTGAAAGCTTGGCTAGGGCGGCACCTGTGGCTCGGAGGAGTAGGGCGCTGGCCCCATATGCCAGAGGTGGCGGGTTCAAACCCAGTCCTGGCCAAAAACTGCAAAAAACCCCCCCAAAACAGAAAGCTTGGCTAATTGTCTTACAGTACAAATGTTAAAAAAAAAAGGAAAAATATTTTTTTAAAGTTTGGCTAAATGGTAAATATATATACATTTAGAGCTGAAATAAAATGCTTAACCTACGAATGCACATTTTAGTTCCCTGATTCCCCATTGTAGTTGCCTATTTGATAACGGTCCCTTTGCAGACAGGTAAGAGGGCTGCCACTGATTATGGACATTTCCAGGTGAATGGCTTGTGGGACCTTCCAGTGGCAACCAGCGTGAGCTATAGTATATAATTCCAGTGTTTTCACTGATTTTTTTTTGTTTGATTATTTCACTTATTTTTTATTGTTCGATTATTTGTTTTACTTTTTTTGGTCCTTTTGAAGAATTGTACAAGCTGGCTTGGCGCCTGTGGCTCAAGCGGCTAAGGCGCTGGCCACATACACCTAAGGTGGCGGGTTCGAATCCCCAGCCCGGGCCGCCCAACAACAATGATGGCTGCAACCAAAAGATGGCCGGGCATTGTGGCGGGCGCCTGTGGTCCCAGCTACTTGGGAGGCTGAGGCAGGAGACTCGCTTGAGCCCAGGAGTTGGAGGTTGCTGTGAGTGTGATGCCACGGCACTCTACCCAGGGGGACAGCTTGAGGCTTCCTCTCAAAAAAAAAAAAAAAAAAAAAAGAATTGTACAAGCCTCAAGTACTCTATCAAATGTTTTACATACATATGATGTTTAAACTGGTAAAATGTGCATTGGGAAAACTAATACAATATTTATGAAAAAAATTCTCTTAAAAACTAGCTTTTAAGTTAGCTTTTAGAAATTAAAAGGAAAAACAACCACATTTTTAATATATTATATCCCCAAATGACTAATGGCTTGAAGGAAGAGATGGTATTTATATTCTGAAATGTATATTTTTGTTATAGAAAAGATTATTCAAACTAAGTGCTTCCTATTTTATCCTTATGTTTTAATGTGAAGGGTGTTATGAAAAGAAGAGACCAAATACAAGCAGAACTGGAGTCCAGACTTGAAGCTTTGACCTATAAAAAGGCAGATACCGATCTAGTAAGTTTGAAAGTTTCTTGATATAATCATAAAGGATTTATTGACTAAAATGTTTATTTGCGAATCAAGCTTTATTGCATGATTGTTTCTAAGCAGTCAACAAATGATAATCGAATTTTTTCTACAAATCAGGTATCATTAAATACCACGTGAGTCTGTAAGCTCAACAATGATGCTTTTCTGCCTTTCTGGCTTATATTATCTCATACTATAAGGAAAATCGGAAGTTAATTTAAAAAAAAAACATAATGTGTTAAAGAAGATATGAAAACTATGCAGCATTGTTCCAGGTTAAGACATACTGTGTAAATACATTGACTTTTTTCTAGTTTTATGAGATGTTTATACAAAATAATGGTTTTGTACACTTTTTTCTGGTTATTATAAAAAATCTTTACAAAGGAGGTATCTTTGTTTTTAAGTTTAATCCTTTCCTTAGTATATTTTAATATGGAAATTATCAAATGCAAAATGAGATCTCATAATGTTATGAACCTCACATATCTATAAGTTGGCTTCAAATTCTCAATATTTTGCCCAAATTTTTAACCTGTCTTTTTTCCTTTTTAATTTTTTCAGAAGTATCCTAAAGCAAATTCTAGGTATATGATGATGATTTTACCCATAGTGCTTTTATATTTATATTTTACTATTTGCTTATTTTTAGAGTCATACTCTCAGATTAGAATTGTTATTTATGTTTTAAAAATTTAGGAAGACACTTGGAAGGTCAAGTAATTTGCCCAGGTTTATATTTCAAATTACCTCTTGAAATGCAGGACTGTGCTTCTTTACAAAGAGCAGAAATAGAAGTAGGAAAAACTATTATTCTGGCTAACTTTTGTTGATACCCTATGAAAGATATTTTCTCAATTTTTCCTTTGACTTAGGGTAAGTGGGGGAATCCTTGAAGCCCCCAGTAAATCTTCAGTAGTATAGCCTCTCCAACCCCAACCTGGCTGAGGACACTGTATCCTTCCTTTCTGCCTTAATCTTCTCACTAGCTTTAATCACTTTATAATGTATTTATTTTTCTTTATTTTTTTCTCTCTCTTTCTTCATAATTGAAACACCTTAAGGGCAGAAATTTTCGTTCATTGACTGACTATTCCCAGCCCCTTGAACAGTGCCGTCACATGGGAATCACTCAGTAAATATTTAGTGAACGAACAAATGAATGAAAATTACAGTGACTACATTGAAAGGCTGAAGCAAGCAGTCTCTAAAATCAAAACTGTGTAAGACACCAGGACTTCAGTAAAAAGTGACTGTGACTCATCCTCCTATCTTGGCTGTATTAACTGAAATTCTGTTCTCCTGAGTGGAATGGGAGTGGGGAGCAGCGGGCCACTGCGGACAGAGTGGGAGAAAAGAATCTGTTAGAGAGAGCAGCAGAAAATGTAAAACTGGTAGAACTAGTGCTTGAGGGGAAAGTCCTCTTTACCTCAAGAAGAGGGGAAGAGAAGGAACCCCAAATCAGCCTTTTCCATTCAATAGGAGACGTACATATATATTTAAAGAGTCAGTTGAAGGGAGCAAGGACAGGGTGGGCGCCAGTTCAGAAATTGTAATTGCATATTTTGAACCTAGAATTTGTTTTTCATTTGGTAAATAATTTTAAAAGATATGGAAATTACTAGTTAGATACATTTTGCTCTTGACTAAAGCCTGGGGGAAAAATAGCATATTTTGAAGTTTGAGGAGAGTAATAGCATAGCTTACAAACCAAGCATATGTTCAGAATGGCCTGTGCTCGTGTTTGATGACAGGAAGATTAGTTGAGATTATTCCAACCGCAAAAGTGTAAGAAAAAAAAAAATAGCCTGGGTTCAGCTACGGCTGGGATTTCCAGCTACACTCCAAAGCAAAACATATTTCTTGCAAGTATTTCTCTTTTGCTCTATACAATTTTTTGATATGTCATTACAATCTACTAATCAGTCGGATTTATGATTTCACTTTGGTGTGTGGTGTCTACTAGAAAGTACTTAACACCTGATGTAGCTGTTGTGTCGTAAAATTGGAAGACACTGGAAACTTTAATTATCCGCATTATTATTTCATAAGGTACTTTTAATTCAGATTTGAAACAGTCTCATTGGACACAGTAACAGAGACATTGCTGCTACTTTTTCTTACCCATCAGAATGGATTCTTCCTAAAATTCAGAGAGACACATGTAAGGATTTGAAAAGGACAGTTTACATTTTCAAACAGTTAATTTGTTTCAGAGCTTCTTGCTTTCAAATTCCTACGTGCTATGATAGAATCTGTGGGAGAAACCTTCCCGAGTCTCTCTAAAAATGAACCTGCCATGATTGGTCACAGAGCAAATGGAGGGATGTTGCTTAAAAATATGCAGGGTAGGGTCACCATGGAAACGTGCCCTCGTGAGGTCCTTCTAAGGAGCCCTCCTTTGCAGTCACCATGACGACCCTAGCGGAATATAGCAAATTGCCTGGTTGTTTACCATGGCAACTCAGACAGGGCCACTTTGGAGACAACCCTAGGGCCATTTCTATGGAAATCTACTGATCTGCTCTTCAGAGGTTCCATGAAGTCACCTTTGGTTGGGTGCAAATGCAAGAAAGAGGCTCGCAATGAAAAGGTCAGTGAAATGAAGCTCCAGGAAGTAGGGCAAAGATTAGGGAGGCTGTAATTATCAGGTGGTGAGATAGCAGTGATGGAACACTCCAGAGGTTATGCTGAATACACGAGGTAAGCTTTCTATGGACTTCGTGGCATGCACATAAAAAACTCTGGTCTTTTTACCATGCACGTAAAACTCTGTACATCCGTGGATGGTGGAAATTAGCATTAATAATGGCATAATGGCTACCTTGTCTCATCACTCAGATATGCCCACAGAAGTTAGGTGTTTTTCTATAAATTAACACTTGGTAACGAATTCCTTGATTTTAATACTTGGGCAGTTACAAAGTGGCTCCTCCTCAGAGTTTGTAGTTTTTATCTCACAGCAGTAAAATTAATGGTTTTAAAATGACCTGAACTCACTGAAGACATTCAGAATATTGATTTGAAGGTCGGTTCAGCTGTTCATTTAGAGTTTTGCTGTTGAGACTTTGGAATTCGATAGACCCAGGATCAAATGCTAGTACACTGGCTTATTAACTCTGTGACCCAGGACAAGTTTCCTAACTTCTTTTAGCCTCGTTTGATCATCTATAATTTGAAAAGATTATGAGTGCCTTTCTCATAGGATTGTGTAAGGATTTGGTTATATCATGCAGGTAAACTGCTTGGATCACAGTAAGCTTGCAGCTGTTGTTAGTCGCTCTTTATTGAAGAGCGGGGAGAGTGTTTCAGGTAGAGTGGATGTTGTGAAAAGCTCCAATAGCGTGCTGAGTTGAGGAAACAGTATTGCCTGCCGTATGGAGAGTAGGCTGCAGGAGGATGAAGGAATATCACTTAAAGGTAGGCTGCAATCACGTGGAAAGGGGACCTTATTGTTACCAGGTTGGGGAATGTGGACTGTGTTCTTGGTTGGTACAGATCCAGTGAGAAGCTGAACTGCGGAGGTGGCAGTGGGATTACCAAGGTGAGTAACTTAGAGAGAGAGGTTGAAAATAGAATTCATACTCCTTCAAGAGCAAGGCGTATCCAGCATTTCAAGTTGTTAACGACTCTAACATTACTAACTTCTATGGAGGGCAGATAGTGGCTCTCTAAACTGAGCTATAGAATACGAAAGGAAGAAGAAATTGATGTCATGATAAGATGACATTTAATGTAGAAGGAGTCTATGGAAACCTTTCGATGAATGTCCTCACCTCCCATAGGAGAGTCACTATTTGGAGAACTGGGCAAACAGTGGTCAGTAAGCCAGGTCCTCCTGAGGCTTATGTTCTAGCAGGTAGATAAAAAACCCAAAGAACAGTAAAATGTAGAGTAGATTGTCATGTAGTGATAAGTGTGGAGGAAAGAAAGTGTTGAGTGGTGCAATTTAGAGTGAGGAGTCAGGGAAGGTCTCATTGACTAGGAGCAGAGTCAGGTGAAGGGGACAGGAAGTGGGATGTGGAACACTGGGTGTGCACAGCCCAGGAAATCAAGGAGACTGAGGTTACGCATGTGGAGGTTACGGGAAATGATCTCAGAGAAGTGCCAAGGGTTAGATCCCAGAGGACCTGTAAGGTTTGCATCACAGCTAGGAAAGAAGAGAAGAGTTAAGCAGAGGAGTACCATGGTGGCAGCTCATGTGTGAGATGATTACCATGACTGGGAATAAACGTGAGCTGGTGTAGATGCTGTCCATGCCCAGGATGGGGGAAAGCCAGAGCTGGAAAGCAGCTTTTATAATCCCACTGGGACATGATGGCTGGCACTAGGGTGGAAGTGGCGGGAGGCAGTCAGATTCTCAGAGCTGTTTGTTATTTGGTGAGCTGTGCATTGTGAGAGGATGAGGGGAGTCGAGGATGATTCTGAGGATTTGGGAATGAAAACACTGGAAGGAAATATTGGCATTAAGATAGGGAAGAGTTTGGAAAGAACATGTTTATGAGTGAGGAAGATGAGGACATCAGACTGGACATGTGAAGTTACTGTGCCTAGTAGATACGTAAGGGAGATGGTGAGTAGAGAGTTACATGTAAACAGCCAAAGGCCAGAGAAGGGGCCTAGCTTGAGATGTGTATTTGGGGGTTGTGAGCAAATGGATGACATTAAAGCCAGAGATTTGGCTCGGTGCCTGTGGCTCAAGTGGCTAAGGCTCCAGCCACATACACCTAAGGTGGCGGGTTCAAATCCAGCCCAGGCCCGCCAAAGAACAATGATGGCTGCAACCAAAAAATAGCCAGGCATTGTGGCAGGCGCCTGTGGTCCCAGCTACTTGGGAGGCAGAGGCAGGAGGCTCTCTTGAGCCCAGGAGTTGGAGGTTGCTGTGAGCTG